AATAAGTGTTATATCACAGGGAGAAGGATGGGAGGAGTGAAGCACAGAACTTCCGTCTGGAAATATTCAGACAGTTCTTGTATAGTTGTCAGTATTGAACCTAGAGAATAACGTATGCTGCTTCACAATGTCCTATAATAGGGATGGGTTGGCGAATGTTCGAGAAAGAATGGATCAAGCTGTTGTGGCTTGGATCATAGCCCTCTAACCTTGACTTGCTCTATTGAACCACCCGGGAGGGAAGAGGAGTTTCAGTTTGAAGAGTTATGGCAGGAACATGATGAGTATCCAGGTTAAATAACAAGAAATAGAGTGATACTACCGATTCTTCCAACGACATCTGTGATAAATTAACAGAGTCTCTGCACTGGCATCCTGGAGTAAGAAGAAGTTCAAGAATGCTAGGAAGGAGGTTGAAAGCTTACAATAACAGCTTACTCAGTTGATAAGCAACAGAGCAGACCAGCTTGATAGAGAGAGATCGAAATCTATTTAAGCAAGATTTGACCAGCTTCGGAGGCAAGAGGAGCAGTATTGGCATTTGAGGTCTAGGATTTGATAGCTGAAATTGAGTGATCACTATAGCAAATTCTTCCATGCTTGAGCTATCTAAAGACGTCAACGGAATAAGATTTCTCAATCACAAGTCACTGAAGGGACTCGGTGTGCTATGCCTGGAAGACTAAAAGAAATAATAACCAAGTTCTTCAGCGATTTGCTCTCAACATAGGAGTACAGAAATTTCGACGTGATTATAAATCAATGCCCTCGGGTGGTATCAATTGAGATGAATGCTGGACTCATTAGACCTCTGTTGATGGAAGAGATCCGATATTTGGGATGGGAGCGACAAAAGCACCCGACGGAATGAATGGATTGTTCTACCAAAGAAATCGGGAGACAAGAGTTATTTTCATATGGGCAGTTTGATATCTAAGATTGAACCAAACCCATATTACATTAGTTGTCATAGTGCCACCGTGGAATGCAGAACTCAATATCGCCAAATTAGCCTCTGCAATTTTTCTTTTAAAGTGATAGCAGAAGTATTAGCGAATCGATTAAAAAACATTAATGCCTCAATTGATTTCTCTGGTGTAAGGCGCCTTTGTTCCGGGGCGTGAAATTCAAAATAATTTTTCGTTGTGCGTGAAGTGTTGCACCATTTACGAAGAAGGTGAACGAAGATTAAATTTATTGCTGTGCACAAATTAGACATGAGGCCTATGGTCAGGTGGAGTCGAACTTTGTAAGGGCTTATTGTATGAAGCTAGGATTCTGCTCTATATGGTTCTATTGGATCACGCATTGCGTGACTGGTTCTGGTGTTTCTTTCGGCAACAAGTTCAATGGAGAACTACTCCCGTATTTCCTACGTTGTGAGGTTCACGACAAGAAGATCCATTCTCTACTCGTCCGTTTATCCTAGTTGCAGAATCCCTATCAATCTTAATCATAGGTTGGCTCAAAGGAATAAGATTGACCTTAGAATGCCCTGTTTTGTCCCACTTATTGTTTGCTGAAGACCTGATCTTCTTCCTTAAGAGATCTATCGGAGAATGTTAGGAGTTGTTGAACATTTTGAATCAATGTTGTCATGCGTCTGCACAAGCAACTAACCTAAACAAATCCGGGGTTCCCTTGAGTAAGGCTTGTCCAGAGAGTCATCAGATAAATGTTGCAGAAACTCTTAGAGTACCGCTTTAACAAGGTGCAGGAGGATATTTAGGAGTGCCATCCCAAGTTAAGCTGTCTTTTGTTTCAAAATACCAATATTTGTCTGCGGAATGATTGAAAAGAAGATTGCGAACTACTGGTGGTCCTCTGCAGAAGGCATAAATGGAGTCCATTGGAGAAGCTGGAAAGTTATGATGCTGTCTCTGAGCATTTTCCTGAACACGATGCCCACAAGATTTTGGCAATTCCTTTAAGTTCGAATGCAATTGAAGATAGCCAAATTTGGCCCTTGAATCGAATAGGAAGATCCAGCATAAAAAGTGGTAAAAATGACATAAATGATTAATTAACTTTGGCCCAACGTGCAATGTCACCCCTAAACTTTTAATTTATTCAATGTGATCCTTTAACTTTAGCTTAATTTACAATATCGTTCTTTAACTTTTAATTTGTTCAATGCAATCCCATTTTTTTTTATAAATGTTCAATCTAGTCCCTAAAGTTTATGAAAACATCCAATTTTATCCTTCCATTAATTCAAGTTTACGGAATTTACTATTTGGCTTTTAATCCGGTATGTTTGAACTGTAAAAAAAAAAACGTCACACGTGATTATTCACGTAAGATAATCAACTTAAATTAGAATATAATAATCTTTTTAATTTGTTCAATTTGATGGCATGGATTATTATATCTTCATTGGAGTTGATTATCTTATGTTGATTATTCATGTGCAACTTTATTTTTTTGCCCACCATTCGAACTTGTCGGATTAGAAACCAAATGAGCAAATTTTGTTAACTTGAATTAATGGAAAGATAAAAATAGATGTTTTTGTATAATATATGGATTATATTGGAAACCAAATGAATAAATTCCGTTAACTTGAATTAATAGAAGGATAAAATTAAATGTTTTTGTATAATATATGGATTAGATTGAACATTTACCAAAAGTTAGGGACCGCATTGAACAAATTAAAAATTCAGGAATGACATTGCACATTGGGTTAAAATTCATGAACTATTTGTGTCATTTTTCCTAAAAGAAGGCTATGGATCAACAACTTATAGAGTGTTTTATGGGGCAATGCAAACATAACCAAACATCAAGTTTTTGGCTGCAAACTATTTTAGAACGCGTCACCAAGGGAAGAGATTTACTGTTGAAAGATGTTGCCAACCTGTAGTCTTCCATTTAGTCAAGGGTTAATACCTTGAAAAACCCTAAACTGGTACATCTGTGATAAATTTACCCAAAATTATTTTTTTGATCACAAAAAATCCCAAACTAGTACAGATGTGACAATTTTACCCCATACTATTTTTTTGACCACAAAAAACCCAAAACTGGTATACTTGTGACAATTTTACCCCAAACTAATTTTTTTTTTATTTTTTTTCTTTTCTTTTTTCCTTCATCTTCAACCTATGGTCGGCCGATGGTGAGGCCGACCTCACCATTGTTGGGCGAGGCCGACCTCGCCGGCAACTGGCGAGGGGTCATCCTCGCCACTTCTGGGTGAGGCCGACCTCACCAGTTGCCAGCGAGGCTGAGCCTCACCAGCGATGGCAAGGACAACCCCTTGCCAGGGGTGGGGCAAGGCCAACCTCGCTAGTTGCCGGTGAGGTCGGCCTCACCCAGCAATGGTGAGGTTGGCCTCGCTAGCGACCCTCGCCTATGGTCAATCACTGGACCGGCGACCGGCAATAGATTGAAGATGAAGGAAAAAAAAAGAAGAGGAAAGGAAAAAGAAAAGAAGAGAAAAGGAAAAAGAAAAGAAGAGAAAAAATAAAAATAAATTCGAAAAATAAAAAATAGTATTAAAAAATTAGTTTAGGGTAAAATTGTCGCAGGTATACCAGTTTAGAGTTTTTGATGGTCAAAAAAATAGTTCGGGGTAAAATTGTCACATGTGTACTGGTTTAGAATTTTTTGTGGTTAAAAAAATAGTTTGGGGTAAATTTGTCACAGGTGTACCAGTTTAGGGTTTTTCGTAGTATTAACCCTTTAGTCAATGAAAGCTAAGAGTACCATTAAAAAAAAAAAGCTCTTCAAAACTTGTAAAATAATGGGTTAATGCTAATGTCCCCCGTTTCCTGTTTATTATACTTTCACAGATTTTGTAAGATAAAGGAGGATTTTGATATATGTCGAATATCATCTTGAATATTATGAGCAAACAAGAATAATTTACATAATTTCAGAGAGAGAAAGATTTGACATGAGTCATGCGATGCTAAATTCGAGCACAGCAAAGAGATAGAGAGTGTGTGTGCTTGCAACGATGGCCCCGAGATCGCGGACGTTGGCGGCGGCACTGCTGAGGCCGCAACTACAGCTTCCAAGCGTTCCACCAACTTTGCTTCCTCTCTCTCTCTCTCTCTCTCTCTCTCACTCACTTGGCGTATTCCTTTCTATTTCTCCAGATTCCCTCTTTTTTTTTTTTTTTGAGAAAAGACCGCCAAAAACCCCAAATTATGTCACCTGTGACAAATTTACTTTGAACTTTTTTCTATGACACGAAAACCCCAAATTATGCCATTTGTGACACATTTATCCCATAGTATTTTAGCTCATGGACATTTTCGTCTTTTTTGTTTTTTTCTTTTTTTTTCCTTTCTTCTCTTCCATCCACCGCCCATGGCAGAGGGAAGCCGGTGAGGGTTGCCCTCACCGGCGTTGGGGTTGGGCGAGGGCTGCCCTCGCCGGATCTGGCAAGGTCGCCGACGTCGAGCGAGAGTCGCCCTCGCCTGGGCGGGCGAGGGCAACCCTTGCCCGACTCAGGCAACCCTCGCTGGCGTCCCTCGCTCGCCTAGGCGAGGGCAGCCCTCGCTCGCCCGAGTCGGGCGACCCTCGCCTGGGCGAGTGAGGGCTGCCCTCGTCGGATCGGGCGAAGGCGATCCTCGTCGGATCGAGTGAGGGTCGCCCAACCCCAATGCCGGCAAGGGCCGCCCTCGCCGGCCGGCGAAGGGGAAGAGAAGAAAGGAAAAAAAAAAATAGAAGAAGCAAAAAAGACAAAAATGCCCATAGGCCAAAGTACTATGGGGTAAATGTGTCACAAATGACATAGTTTGGGTTTTTCGTGTGACAAAAAAAGTTTAGAGTAAATTTGTCACAGATGGCATAATTTAGAATGTTTGGAGGTCTTTTCCTTTTTGTTTTTTGATAGAAGCAATAAGTTTTGTCTTATAATAGTTTTTTTGAGGGCGTATTTCCACGTCGGACGTCACATGGATGTCAGCGGGGGCCACGGACCAACTTTGAACAAATGAGACAGACTGGCTATACGTAGATTGAGGATTCGATTACAAAGATTTGACTCTGCCAAAAAACAAGAGAGGCGATCAGGGCAAATCCCAGAGCGCGCTTGCCATCCTCCTCGTTCTGATCCTTGCAATGAAGAAGAAGAGGAAGTACTCAGCAGCTGCAGCAGCACCGATGGGCGGAGACGCCGCCTCGGATACCGACTGCTACGATGTGTTCCTGAGTTCCAGTGGACTCTACACTTGCTATTTTTTCGCCGAATCCCTGTACCGGAGCTTGGTTGATGCCGGGATCCGCGTCTTCGGAGACAACGGTGTATTTCGAATCGGTAAAGAAATTGGCGAGGAGATTCTGAGAGCGATCGACGGGGCCAAGATCTGCATCCCCATCTTCTCCGAAGACTACGCTTCCAATGCGCGGTGTCTCCGGGAGCTTGCGGCAATGGTGGACAGCAAGGCCAAATCGGGTGGTGGGAAAACGATCTTCCCCATGTTCTACAACGTGGAACCTTGTGATGTTAGGCTCGAAACCCCTCGGTACCGCCGTACTCTATCGATGCACGAGAAGAGATACGGGTCCAAGGAAGTAAGCGCGTGGGAAGATGCTCTTAAACAGGTTGCTTCATTACCTGGATGGGTCACGGGATATAGCAGGTAAAAGGCCGAGACTTTATTACAGGAGGGTTTGCAACTCATAAATGGTTTTCTAGTATAGCAACGCTAAACTCTAAATAGAAACAACTGATCGCTTCGTTTTTTGATGTTGCGCTTTAAGTAGAAATAAACTTCAAATTGTTGTTCCGCAGTTCAATAGGAGTGGTTATTGCTTTTGTCATATAGTATCAGCCCTACTGTTAAACTCGTGCCCTTTTCTTTTCTAACTGAAACGGTTTACTTCTGTGGCAGCTCGATTGACGACATGAGGAAACTCGTTGAAGCAATCACGGTCAAGCTGAAGGTAAACCGTGTGCATGTGAATAAACTCATGTGTGACTTTCATTTCTACTTATCAGTAGTTGATAACAGAAACTGCTTGAATATATTTCCTTGCTAGAGTTCACCTTAAGTATGAGATGTAAGACTATACATGCTAGTCTTATATAGTAGTGTGCATGGCATGGCAAACAACCTCACCTTAGAGGTCCAGTTGTGGAAGTAATCAGCCATCGTTTTTTATGAATTTTGTATCTCTAGAGAGATTGGGACATTATTGCTAATGGAGTATAATCATCCGAAGGTTGATTACCTTCCATTTAATGCTATATCCTAACTTGTTAAACAGTCTAAGTGTTGTATCGACATAGATGGGGTCATTTACTAGGATATGACTGGTGGATTTCTGTGTTGTTTCTGAAGTGCAGCAAGATATAAAAGGAAAATTAAATCCAATTGTTACACTTTTTCATTTCCCGCAGCAGCTTTCTTGTTCACAATTTATTTGCTCGCGTAGGAGGTTCGAAAGAAAGATGAAGCAAAAGGACCAGTGGTACTTATTGGCAAGTCATATAGGGAGAGCCCTGTGGTAATTGCCAAACAAGTGGAGGACATGATGGACTTACTTGATTTAGAAGTCAGTGATGTACGAATAGTTGGAATCTGGGGGGTGGGTGGGGTTGGCAAGACGACTCTTGCCAAGGTCATTTATGAGCAAATTTCCTCTCATTTCGACGGTGGTAGTTTCCTTGCAGATATTGGGGCAACAGTGAAACAACTTGGAGGTGTTCGGCGTTTGCAAAGCAAGTTGATGTCTGATATCCTAAACCGAGAGTACGATGTTGATCAAGTTGCGAAAGGAATCGACTTTTTTAAAGGAATATTGCAGAATATGAAAGTCCTAATTGTTCTTGATGATGTGGAGGTACAGTCGCATCTCCACGAAATTGTTGGAGAGAAGTTTGATTGGTTTGGTTATGGATCTAGGATAATAGTCACCACTAGTATCCAATCTGTTCTTCCAGAATTCATACCTCGAGGGTTGGCTCATGTTTACGGTATCAACGTGATGAATAATGATCAAGCTCTTGAGCTTTTGAGAAAGCATGCACTGCCAAGAGAATTTTCAATTCTATATCTTGATGAAATTGCAAAAGGTATAATCAACTCTGTGAATGGGATCCCATTACTTGTTGAAGTAATTGGTTCACTCTTGCATGAAAAAGGAGAAGAAGAACTGGCTGCGCTTTGTGAGCTAATTTTGCAATCTGGCCAGGATATTGAAAAGATTTTGATGGTTAGTTATGAAGAATTGAGCAAAGAGCAAAAGGAGATATTTCTTGATATTGCATGCCTCCCTGCTGATGTGGATGGTCGAATTGCTTCATTTATGTGGCATAATCCCAATTTTCCCCCCTCCGATGGAGTTGTTGCGCTCCATGTCATGTCCCTGGTAAAAATTGGAAAAGATAATGAACTAGGGATGCACAGGCTGTTAAGGGAGTTCGGCCAACAAATCATACGAAAAGAGGATGATCTACATCCAGGAACGCGAGGAAGGTTATGCAATTTGGAATTGGCCTGGAAAACGGAGAAGATGGAGGTACAGTATCTTGTGTAATTCTATAGCGGAATGCATGCCTTACCCTGTTCTCGAGCCTTGGAGTGTAGAGAAATTGTCCTTTCTCTTTAATGTTGACTTATTTAGCTCTTTCTCAGTTTTTCTCCACTTAATACTTTTTCCATTGTAGGGGACAGACCACCTCAACTTTGATGCGAGAGATTTTAAGAGCATGCCAAACATAAGGTTTCTTATCTTGGATTGTGCAAAAGTTGTTGGTGATTTTGCCAATGTTTTTCCAAATTTGAAGTGGCTTCAATGGCAAGGATGCACCAGAGATTTTGAAGCTACTAATTTTCATGTCGAGAAATTAGTCATTCTTGATCTATCATGGAGCAAAGTCACTGAAGACTGGGGAGGTTGGAGAAAAATCAAGGTAGGTTAAGCTTTATTTATTTCATGAAACTGTTTCCCTGATGAATAGGTTTTCACCAGAAAGCTTTTTATGAAGACTGATTTAAGACATGACACTTTCCGGCATATGGCAAGTACAGAACTGAATGTTACTCTTGAAATACTAAAGGAAATAATTGGTTGCCTGCCAACAACAATTAGAGGGCGTGTGGACGATGGTGGTGGTGGAATTCGTAGGTTGAGTGAGTTAAGGGGAATGATTTCCTGATTGTTGAAAGGGTAAGTTATTCTTTAGAATCTAGATAAGCATCTTCTTTGACTATGAAAACATTTTCCATCCGAAATCTTCCTAAACTATGCCAGGATTGTAAGAATGGAAAACATATTTTCAGAAATTGTTTTTCTTCAAAACAAACGGAGCCTTGGACTTCCTTACCAAAAAAAAAAAAAACACAGAGCCTTGGACTTTATTTGCTCTAAAGATTTGTTCACTGTACGAATTCATGTTTCTGTGCTATTTTTGCAGATGCCGCAGTTGAAAGTCTTGAATCTTACTGGTTGTGCTGACCTATTGATAAGCCCCGACTTGTCCTCTTTCCCAGACTTGGAGATATTGATTCTCGAAGGATGTTCTCGACTAATGAAGTTAGATCCTTCCATCCGTCATTTAAAACGCTTAACTACCTTAAATTTGAGGTTCTGCGATGAACTCAATATGTTGCCAATTGAACTGGGTCACATGAAAGCTCTTAAGGAGCTCCTTATTGATGGGACTTCCGTGCAAGAAATTCCTATGTCAATGGGTTACATGGAGAAACTTGAGGTTTTTAGTGCCTCCAACTGTCTCCGATTAAGTCACCTGCCTGATTCAGTTGGTGACTTGACAGCTCTTTCAGAACTCTCACTGGAAAATGCAGAAATTACTCAAATCCCTGACTCAGTTGCAAAGCTGGTGAAACTTCAGATCCTGTCTCTAAAGGATTGTCGTTGGATAGGAAGACTTCCGGATTCAATTCGCAATTTGGGAGACTCATTAGAGGAGTTGGATATAACAGGGACATGCATATCTAAATTGCCCAATTCAATTACTTGCTTGGGGCATTTAAAAGTGTTAAAAATAGATTCTTGCTTAATTAGAGAATTGCCTAGAGAAATTGGAAATTTGGTCAACCTTGAAGAGTTACATGCTTCCCATTGTAAGAGTTTGAAGGGAGCCATTCCAACTGCTATTAAGAGTCTAGATCGTCTGAGGATACTGAGATTGGGACATTCCATTATCTCTGGCATTCCTTCGGAAATTGGAAGTCTTTCTTGTCTTCAGACTCTTGATTTACTTCAATGCAACCAGATTCAAGCGCTGCCAGAGCTTCCGTCCAGTTTAACTTGTCTACGTGTAAGTTCTGAAAGGATGAAGACCTTGCCAGATCTTAAGAATTTAGTGAAGTTGGAGGAGATGTGTCTGGGTGATAAAGATCCTAAGGAGCTCATATGTCCCTCAACACGGATGAAGCCAACATCCAGATCGAGAGATCTCTTAGTTGTGCCCATAGTACTCTCAAAACTGAAGATGTTAGAGTTGTCTCATTCTCGAATCAGGGAACTGAAACTTGGGCATGATTGCTGCTCATGTACACATCTTAAGAAGCTAGTTCTATCTGGTGTGAATCTTGAAATAGTGCCGGAACTTCCCTTGTCATTGTCCGTTTTATCTATTCGACGTTGTTTGTCTTTGAGGCAATTGCCAGCAGTTCACCATCTGAGGAAACTATCAGAACTAAATCTCATCCAATCTGTGGTAGAAGAGATTAAGGGGCTTCAAGGACTTACTGCTCTGGAAATCTTGAATATAACGCACTGTGAAATACGTAATCTCAATGGGCTTGACCAATTAAGAGATTTACGAAGTTTGATTTTGTTGGACTGTGATTCACTTGGTGGATTGCCCGATATATCAAACTTGAAGATGTTGAATGTCCTGGTAGTCCAAAGATGCAGGATGATCCCTGATGTTAAAGGCCTCATGGAGTTAACCTCCTTGGAAGTGCTGCGTGTTAGCGAATGCGAGGCAGAAAGCACACAGCAAGTACAGGATGCATTAAAGCTCGTGATGGAGCGTTCAATAAACAGTTGATGTCCTGTGCTCCTGGAGTGGACACAATCAAACCATACAGCTGTGGAGGGCAGCATCATTGAAGTCCACTGCGAAATTGAGTTGGCAAACTGGCTCCAAAATTGCTGGAGCTGTAATTGGAAATTTGGCACCAAAAGTTTTTAAAGACCTCCATCTGTCAAAGTGGAACCAAGTGCCCTAAACATGCACCCTTGCACGACCTGAAAGGTGATCAGATCCTTCATACTCCTTCCTCTTTTACCAACCCATCTTTCTGTCCAGTCTCTCTCATTCGACTGGTGACTTAGTCATTTCTGTAAATTCGGAATGATCTAACTCCAAAGAGATCTGGAAAATCTGGAGGCATTGCAAGGAATTTTCTTTTGTCAAAGGCATGTCCAATTCTTAGATGAGGTAATTATACCAAATGATTTTCTCTTGAGATTTATTATCTTGTCTATGGTACCCAAATTTACAATTCATTTGACTGTAAGATGTGCACCTCTTTTGCTCAAGGTCAGTGAGTAGTTAAGCAAAGCACCTAGTTGCGATGTTCTTTTGCTCATCACCTGTGAAGAAAGAATTATGAGCCTTGTATGTTTCATACAGACTCTTCTTCATGGAACGATGTTGCTTCTTAGGTTCAGATTAATCTGAGAGGCAGCACTATACAGATTTTAGTCTTTAAACTAGCCCAGAGTGGATGTCTATTACAGCTGGGGAACCCGAACACATGAGTTCCATCATGCTGGGACTCACATTTGTATCGAGAACATTTCAATTGTTTTCTTGCTGAAGTAATGCGTGTGACACACCCCAGATGACAAGGATGACCCTACTTAAATGAAAGCATTGTCACAATAACTACCAAGAGGGACATTTATCTCAAAACACAGATGGCAGAGAGGGCAAGCTGGTTAGAAAGGATCTAGTAGTGATTATAAGTGGTTATTGATTTCGGCTTCTTACCTCATCTTGGTTTAAGATCATCAATAGGTTGTTTTAGGTAACTTTTGTTTAGCTTGAGCTTTTTGAGTTGGTATTGGACATTGGTGCACAATTTTGTTGATCCTATATCTGCTTCTCCCCTTCAACCTAATATGGCTTATCTCAATCTAGTCATTTCTGAGTGCCCACTGTTTTTGGTACTCCGTGAGTAAATGTGAATGTAGAGTGAATGGAGAGCAGGGAATTCTAGTATCCAGGTTAAGAGCGAGAAGCGTGCATTAAGCCTGTGAGGGAAAGGTGTTCTCTGAAAGGAAGAGCTTGCTTGGTTAAGTTTGGCTTGCGGCTACAGGGAATTCAGAACAGATGAAATCTGAATGAAAGTTGGTAACTGGAACAGCTGATTGGTTTTTGCTGGGGGAACAATAATAAACATATCAGCAGCAGCTTCTTGCCTGTTATTAGGGAAGAAGCTTCAGCATTATGTAGCAGGCTAGGAGGACATGGTGGAACTGGAGATGGAATTTTTGGGTGAGTTTTCACTGGCCAGTGGGCAGAGAGAGAGAGAGCATAGAAAAATTTGGTCCTTGAAGTTCCTTCCAAGCTTTCAAATTATAGTAGAAATACACAGATCTTGGATATCTTTGACAAGTATGGTGTCGGTTTGTTTACCATTTCAAAATCCATACTGATGCGGAGCTTGTTTGGTTAAAAAGCAGCTGAGTGAAGTTAGGATCACGATTCCGACCGAAGAAAAAAAAAAGGATCACGATGTCTTTCTTGTCATGTTTGGTGAGTTAGAAAGACACTGAATGGAAATGAAACTTGATAAAGAAAATCGTTGCATTGTTGCATTTTCATTACTATGGAGGAAGGTGGGAATAAGTCAGAACAAGAACATGTCAACAAAACGACAAGTAGATGATGGATCATTAGCTAAGTCATTGGTTCTGTAACTTTTAAATGAACAAATGTAACTCGGTAAGCACACTTAGCTCATCTGCTTAATCTTTAGAAATGTGAAACAATCAAATTCAAATCATATAAAGCTATACTCCAATTTCGATCTGTCACCAATGCCAGAAATTTCAAATTAATATAAATTTTCATCCGTCGTAATGCATTTCGATTTCCTTAAAATCTTATTTTGATGGTCTCCTTCCTTCGCCAAAAGATTTCAGAAGTCAAATAAACCATGGCCGGCACCATTTCCACAGCTTGAATGTCTAAACACACAGCATTTGATGGTGATCAGACGAAAATACCCTTAGAAACGACCCCCTTTTTGTTGAGCACGATGAGGATGACCACACCGCAACGAGCAGAACTTAAATGTGCGTCTTCCAGAACCACTCTGCTCTGTTTCTCTCCCGGTTATCTTTCCATTGATAATTTGATATGAAGAATCCTCTTCAGCGCAACCCTCTTTGCTCAATCCAAGAATGTCGGCTTCGAACACACTTATGGTCAACGTCTCCTTCCAATCGACCAAACCTTGCGTGAACGACAACACCTGGGTATCGGAAGGAGTCTTCATATCTAGAGAGGTAGATTCTATGTGGTTAATAGCTAATACTGTCAAAAATCTCAAATTGGTATACTCGTAGATACCAACCTAGGCTTACGACTACATCACGGGCACGGGCCATCACGCCCAAGGTCATCATCGAGTTTTGTTTTAATCACTCCACAAGCCTTGTTTAAAGAAAAAAAGTGTAAAAAGTTCCAGAGATAAGTGCATTGGAAGTCTTAAAACTTATTATGAAAATGCAATTGAGTCTTAAAACTTGTTATAAAAGTGCAATTGAGTCCTAAAACTTACAAAAGTGTAATCATGTCCTCAAACTTATCAAATTAGTGCAGGCGAATTATTCCGTTAACTCCGTCAAGTTTGGCTAACGGAAAATTCTGACGTGTCTTTTTTAATATTTTCTCTATTCTGTGTGGTAATGATGTGGCTAAAACGATTCCTTTTAGTCCAAATATGACTTTTAATACATGATTTATTTAAATTAAATTAAAAATAACCTAAATTCTCTTTTTTTTGTCATAAAAAATTAAAGGGAAAAAACCACCAAAAACCCTAAACTTTGCCACGTGTAACATATTTACCCCGAACTTTTTTTAGTGACACCAAAAACCTTAAACTTTGCTTTTTGTGACACATTTACCCCAGTGTATTTAGTCCATGGGCATTTTCGTCTTTTTTGCTTTTTCTTTTTTTTTTCATTTTTTTTCCTTTCCGGCGAGGGGGGCCCTCGCCGGCGTCGGGCGAGGTTCACCCTCGCTTGGGCGAGCGAGGGCGGCCCTCGCCCGACTCAGGCGAGGTCGACCCTCACCGGATCTGACGAGGGCCGCTCTCGCCGGCATCAAGCGAGGGCGGCCCTCGTCCGATCTGGCAAGGGCGACCCTCGCTCGACGCCGGCGAGGGTCGCCCTTGCTTGATCCGTCGAGGGCGGCCCTCGCCGACGCCGGGCGAGGGTGCCCCGCCGGATCCGGCAAGGGCCGCCCTCGCTCGCCCAGCGAGGGCGGCCTCGCTCGCCCGTGCGAGGGCAACCCTCGCCGACGCCGGCAAGCGAGGTAGCCCTCGCCGAGATAGGGCGAGGGCCGCCTCGCTCGACGCCGGCGAGGCGGCCCTCGCCCAACTCAGCGAGGTCGGCCCTTGGCCGATGCCTGCGAGGGTCTCCCTCGCTTGAATTGGGCGAGGGCCGCCTCGCTCGCCCGGCGAGGGAGACCCTCGGCTGGATGCCGCGAGGGCCGCCTCGCCGACGCCGGCGAGGGAGACCCTCGCCCGACGCCGGCGAGGGCCGCCCTCGCGGGATTCGCGAGAGAGACCTCGCTGACGGCCGGCGAGGGCCCTCACGGAAAGGAAAAAAATGGAAAAAGAAAAAGAAAAAGCAAAAAAGACAAAAATGCCCATGGACTAAATACATTTGGGGTAAATGTGTTATAAAAAGCAAAGTTTGGGGTTTTTGATGTCACAAAAAAAGATTCGGGGTAAATGTGTCACAGGTGGCAAAGTTTGGGATTTTTGGTGGTTTTTTTCCAAAATTAAAATAAGCTAAATTCAAAAAATAGAAAGGAAGGTTTGAATAGGGCCATCGCCGCCGCCACCGTACAATTGTTGGGAAGGGTTGGCGATGGTGGGGGGAAGGGTCGGCGGGGGTCGCAGAGCCCCGACTAGTGGTCGACGACCCTTGCCGACTGCATGTGAGGGCCTGAAGGCCCTCATCCAGGTCTGGCCGACCCTCGCCAATGGCGGCCCTCAGCCAGACCTCATCGAGGGTTGGCAATCCTTGCTTAGATCTATGTGAGGGTCCCGCACCTGCGATCGACAAGTCTTGCTAGCAACTGGTTAGGGCCCAGCGACCCTTGCTAACCATCCCCCCACCATCACCGGACCTTCCTAGCAATTATAGGGCGGTGGTAGCGAGCCCTTGCTGCCTGTTCTCGCATTTCCTTTAAAAAATATATATTTAGGTTATTTTTTAAATTTAATTTAAATAAATTTTGTATTAAAATTTAAATTTGGACAAAAATGACGTCATTTTAACTTTATGTTTCATGTTTTAGCCCTTTCATTGCCATGCAGGACATAAAAAAATTAAAAAAGCCAAGTCGGTGTTTTCTATAAGCCAAGTTAGACGGAGTAACCGAATGACTCGATTACATAAATTTGAAAAGTTTTAGGATTTGATCGTACTTTTGTAAGTTTTATGACTTAATTGTACTTTCATGATAAATTTGAAAAAGCCGTTAGGTTCCTCTTCCCATGTTTGTGAGTCTCTTTCTCTGTTTTTTTTTTTTTAGGGGGGGGGGGGGGGTCGTTATGTCTGTGTGAGGACTGTCGATTTAGCTAGTACATGCTTAGCTCTGCATCTTCACTGCGAATTTTTCTTTAGACTGCAATAAAGGATTTGCTGGAACATTTCTTGGCCTTGATTTGGTCTTCAAATCGGCTGGATCTCATCTCCTTTTAAGGACATCATCAATGAGCCTAGATTGAATAGGGTCTAACTCTTTTTCTTTTATTATTTTTTTAATCTAAAGCAACTTTATTGTCTCATATCAGAACGTCGTAGTCAAACCAGTCGGCCTTATGCCTCACACTTTTTGCTTTCGCTATCCACACCTACTTTTTCTCCACGACCCTTCTCCCCTCTCTCTCTCCGAGAGATAAAGTTCAGAACATGAAACTCCTCCTAACAATAACATTACATGGGGCAAACTGACTTTCCAACTCTTGCTTCCACCCTCTAACATTGACTTCCAATCAATTTTTGAGATAATGTCGCTGAAAATAAAATTCTAAACAAATCCAAATGTCATCTATTATTGAAGGTTTATTCTCTGAAAAGCATACGTTTCTACGTAAAGTCTGAGAGGTGTGTGATATTGGAAAATTCGGAGCTGAATACTACTTTCAAAGCCCCGGAGGACAGGGATTGTGTAATTTTATTTGCGATGCATTTATTTTGCAAAAAAAATAATTTGAAAAATATTTTTTAAAATTGATTTTTTTGTTATAAAAATGAATTAATGAAGAATATTTTTCTCATCCACAAAGATGTTTAGACGTGAATTGTTATTAATAATGAAAAATATTTTTCATTAACTAATTATTTCAAGTGATATAAACTACCATCTTAAGAAAATATTTTTCAAATAATTTATTTTCCGCGAAAGAAACGGAGAGAAAGGGGCCATTTTCTAACACTTGACTAATCCGTATCACGATCTGTTAAATATGTCTTGAATTTTATGTACTCGGTCCGGTTCATGACCCGACCCGACATATTTTTGTGCGACCCGAAAGTGGAGAGAAAATGAGATTTGGTTCGTGACGCGAAGGGTTGGGCCTATCGGCCCAACCCGTAGCAAGCGAATTTCGGGAGCAATATTTATACTGCGGCTAGGTTTTCTCATTGATATAGAGAGAATTTTGTTTTCAGAGAGTTTTGTGAGCTGTGAGGTTTTGTCGTTGTTTCGACTTCTGAAAACTGTACTCTCTTTGATTATAATGGAATCTTGTCTTGCCTCGCCCGTGGATGTAGATCACCTCGTGATCGAACCACGTAAATCTCTGTGTTCTGTTTTTTCTTTTCCGCGTTTAATACAACAAACTGGTA